CCCTCTCCCTCTCCCTCTCCCTCTCCCTCTCTCTGTTTTAGGCCATACTTTCTTCCAGGCAAATTTCAGTGTCCTTTCAGAGACATTGGCCCAGGTTTTCTCAACCCTGCACAGGAAAAAATGTAATGTTCCTTCCAGAACTCTTTAAGGGTTAAATCTGTATCTGAGACCATCTACAAGCATAAGTAGCCGTCATTTGGGTCTTAACTCAAGACTTTGGTCATAAGTAAAACTAAAATGCCAGGTGTAACCCCATGGGTCTACTGTACTACATCCAAAGGATAACAGTTACAGGCTACTAATGATATATAGCAGGAGAGACAGCATAATCTGGCTGCATCAGCCCTGGGCCGTATTACATGAGAAAATTAAACTTTAACTAGTTTAAACTTCTTGTGGGATGTTTCTCTTATAACCAATTTTAGTCCCAGTTGTTACAACTGATAAGCAAATTTTACGAATCTTTCAAGTATGGTTGTAAACAATGCATTTTCCACTTGGGGGGGGTATAAGAGGCTTCTCAGTGGATCTACTGGATCTTTTTTTTTTTTAATGTCACTCTAGCTAAGTTATGGAATGTCTTTAAAAATTTTCTCTTTTGAGTCACTCTGGAAAACTAAGATCAAAAAATTGCAAGTTCGAGTCCAGCCTGTGCAACTTAGCATCATAGCCAAACCCTGTCTCAAAACATAATAAGGGCTGGGGCTGGGGATACTTCTCAGTGCAAAGACCCTGCATTGAGTTCTCCACACTGCACTTAAAAAAAAGTGCCCAAGACTGTATGGTTGGGTACGTCTCTGGTAAACTGTCCTTTTATTCTTACATGGTAAATATCCTTTTTCCCTAATGAAGTGTTACTAATTCATGTGATATAAGGGTGAACCCGTGGTCTAGCTAATGCCACGTTCTCCACAGTAACTTGTAAGGATAACCAAAGCAACTTACCTTTTGTCAGCACACACTCAGTGCTGTTTCTTACAATAACGTCTGCCAGTATTGATCATCTTCATATCCCACAACTGCTCTTCTCTTGATTTCATGCTGACTGGCCCTGATGAGAGGAAGTAGCAAATACTTTAAATGCCTTAGAAAAGCACACATGAATAACAGGACTGGAAACAGACCCAAACAGTAGAGGTTCAGCTATCTAGCATATGCCAAGACATTCTCACGGTGAAATCTGCTGCGACAGAATACCACCTACCACAAAAAAACCATAAGTCTATTTAAAAGTACATATAATATGCAGATTCTCTACATATGTTAACTTTTAGTTTTAACTTTTTGTGGACAGCATGGTGTTTGTGATACCGATTCAAACAGCTTGGTAGGCTTTTATGACTTCTGGAGACACCATGTGACCCATTTGATTACTCACTGAAATATCTGCAGATGACCATACTGGTGAATGTTACATAGAAAGGAACCAAGTATAAAAAGAATTTGAGAATTTAGAAAATCAAGAATAATGCTGGTCACATATGAAGGCAGCATTACGTAATCAAAACTAAACAAGGACAGATTAAAGCCCAGAACCCTTCATAAGTTATTAAAATGCACTGGAAGCCAATCAGGTTTTTTTAAGAGAATCCACCATGTTCAATTTGTTTGCCCAGAAACACAAAGTTAGTTTCACACTGGAAAAGTCAAAAATATAATTCACTTTTGCGTGGATGGATGTGGTATTGTCAATTGATCCCAAGGCCTTGGCAAATAGTCACCATTGAGATGATCTCCAGCCCATAAAATTCACTTTTTAAATAGGCCTGTTGCTCATTCACCTAATAATTATTGGGCACCTAAAATGAGAATACTCTAAATACTTGTTGCTTATTTAACTACTATTCTAGTAGATACAAAAGAAATACATACAGAGATCTGGGATTAGGGTGTTAATGTGTAGTTCAGTACTAGAGCATTTGTCTAGCACAATAATGAAGCTCTGGGTTCCATTCCCAGCACTACAAAAAAATGTTTTCTAACAAAATTTCTCAATATAAACACTAAAACAGTAAGAAAAAGATACAACAACAGACCTAAGCACCAGGCTGGGGATATATCTCAGCGGTACAGCACTTGCCTACCATGTGCCTGTAATCTCAGCTACTCGGGAAGTTTTGGCAGGAGGATCACTTGAACCCAGGAGTTAAAGGCCAGCCTTGGTCAACACTAAGAATCAGGGAAAAAAAAAAAATTAAAACTGTTTTGGAAACAAAATATCAAAGATATTAAAGACAACCTTTAAAAAATCATTCATTCATTAAAAGATTCACTTCTGACCAGGTATAGCACATGCCTCTGATCCCAGCCCTTGAGAGGCTGAGGCAAGGGTGTCGTTGGATACAAGGCCAGTCTGGCGTATGTAGTAAGACCTTATCCAAAAAAAAATCTGAAAAGACTCAATTCTCCCACACTGATTTAGAGATTTTTTTAAAGTTTCAACACAACTTTTCCAGATTTACATGAGATTATGGAACACACTAGCAACTACAAAAACAAACACTACAGTGATTATACATCTTCGAAGACACTGGAGATCTGTTAATAAAAAAAGGGTAAATTAAATACCAGAACAAGACCCTCCTAACACAGCAATGGCTGTTCTTTTTCTTGAGGATATAATCGTCTGTGGCCTAGAAACAGTGGTGAAAGACCAGGCTCACTACAGGCAAGGGAACTTTAGCGTATGGAGGGGCCAACAAGGCACTACTCAGTCATCACAGAGCTTAGTGTGCACAAGGTAAAATGAACGATTCGCAGACACAGAACTGTTAGATTCCTAACACTGCCCCTCATCTCCCTGGTATTCATGCTGAGTGCATCAGCCTAGGGTACAGGGCACTGAAGAACAGGACATCATCTGTTGTGCTTAGATGTACAGGGTGTGACCTGAAGTAGTCATAAAAATGACCTTACTCTCAAAGGTGAATAAAGTCCCATCTCAACCTCTGACCTGATTAAAGCAATAAACCCCTCACATGATCTGGGCAGATGAAAGAAAGCTTTTTCAGTTGAAAATATCTTTCTTCAATGTCTAGAGTTCTTTTATAAGTACTACCCACGCAGAGTTTTCAAGTCACATGACATGCAAAGTGACAAGACAATGTTAACAGTCAAAAAGAGCTAATATAAACAGATCCACAGAAGATGAGAATTAGCAGACAGAAGAATTATCAGATACAGGAAAACAATTTTAAATGGATGAAAATATGTACAATTGCAGTATGTAAGTAGACTAAACTGGAAACAAACAGGTATCCTAGAATTGAAAATTAAAATTTCTGAAATAAACAATTCCTTAAATCAGTTTACTAGTAAAATAAATACAACATAAGGGCTCAATTCTCTACCACAACTTGCTTTAGAGGAACTATTAGTAACACAATACATGAAAGAGATAAGACTCAATATCGGAAAAAAAATAATTCAAAAGAAAGGAAGAAAAGACAATGGGGAAACAAAATAGAAAAATAGAGCCGGGCATGGTGGCGCACACCTTTAATCCCAGCACTTGGGAGGCTGAGGCAGGAGGATCGCTGTGAGTTCGAGACCAGCCTGGGCTACATAGTGAGTTCCAGGCCAGTCTCAACTACATAGTGAGACCCTGTCTCAAAAACAAAGAAAAATAGAAAAATGATAAGTTTAAATCTGATATAACTAACAACCTTACACGGATAAAACATCCTAAAAACTATACTCACTGATTGTTTTTAAAACTGTTACTGTGTAAGCTGCTTATAAGAATCACAACTTTAGGTCATTTTTTTAATGGAGGGGGTAAATACCACATTTGCTGTATCCTCAAGAAAGCTGGTATAGGGCCCGGGATTTAGCTCTGGCTCTGCCGCCTGCCTCACAAGCGCAAGTTCCCAAGTTCGATCCCCGGTACCAAAAAAAAAGCTGATATAGCTATATTAGTATTAGCTAAGAGAAGGGGATTTCATGATGGCAGAATCCTGTGAGTAGCGTCTAGACATTTTGCAACTAGATATGCACTGGGGAAAAAATGGAAGGCCAGAGAGAATGTGGGTCCTTGATGACTTTGGAGCCATCGAGTAAGTCAATCCTGGAACTGCCCTACTTCTTGTCCACACTGATTTCCTAAGTACCCTCATCAATCCTCACAAAAGGAAACAAACACTCTCCACAGAAATAATATAGTGGCTCCTCGGTTCACAAATTTCTTTCCATGATTTTGGTCACAGAATTTGACTGCAAACAGAATCATGGAAAGAAATTTGTGAGCCACGGTACCACTGTAATAAAATAATAATTTACCAGTTAATGGGCCTGAGTTTTAGCACGTTACACTTGAGGAAACGTTTCTTCCTCGAGATATAGGAACTTGGGCTTGGACAACACTCAGTTCTGTCTGCAGTGATAAAAGATACATTTTTGGATTCCTATACTGCCAAACATCTGACCTTTAATCCAGGGGAAAGGCAGACCTAAACCTAGTAAAAGTTCTCAATCACTGGTAACAACACAATGAAATTTAGGAGGCAGAAAAGCGAAAACATCAACGTCTGAACTGAATCCTAAGTTACCAAAATACTGCAACTATGCCAACGTTCAGCTGTAACGTTCTCCCCAGAAGTACTGTGCCTGAGACAGGCAGGAACCTCTGCCATCCAGGTAACGGCACCGAGCCAACCATTTCTGCCCTGCTCTAATTTATAGCGTTATTTGGGTGGACAAGGCAAACAGTGTGATACAACATTCAGGACAAGGGACTTCTGAAGTATCACCCTGGAATATTTAGTTCTACATTTTCAAGTAAAAACGCGTCAAGCTGTGTAGACAGAACTGTGAATTGAATGTAATGCTGAACCTGGAGATAGCAGGTGTTACAGTTTGTCTCTCGATGCCCTCCCCAAAGCTTCATGCACTCATAGGTGGGGCTTTTCAGGGGTGGCAGGACCTACAGTGTGTGATACCAGGATTAAGGGTGGATGATAAGTAAATGAGTTTAGCGTAGTTCTGGGTGTGGATGATGGAAGCTTCACCCTGTGCGGAGATTTTGCCAATCAATAGGCTTATAGGCTGGATGGAGCACAAAGGGGAGAAGGAAAGGCAGGCTTGCTGCTGTTTGCTGCTCACTGCTTTTGCTTTCTGCCTGCTGCACCATGAATCGTTTCTCCTCTAGGATGCCCCTCTCCCACACCACCCTGCCGTGGAGCCAGCCAACTATGGACCGAAACCTCTGCAGTCTGTGAGCTGAAATAAACCTCTCATCCATTAACCTTGGATATCAAGTATTTTGTCTCAACAATGAGACAAGTAATTGAGCCAGTAAGATCTAGGTCTTACTAAATTCTTTTCTTTAACATTACCAGCAGCATCAGATTTCTCAGTATAAGGGCATAGTCTCATAGACCTAACAATTTTCAGAAATTATTTTGATAGCCTACAAAAATATTTTTTGGGTTTGTTGTTGTTGTTTGTTATTTCTCTTTGCTTAATTGCTGTGGCTAAACTATATTCTAGAACTATATTGAAAAGGAATGGTGATAGTGGACATCCTTGTCTTGTTCCTGATTTTAGTGTGAAGGTTTTGTTTTTGACCATTTAGAATGTTACTGGCTGTTGGTTTTTCATAGCCTTTATCAGGTTGAGATAAAAACCATCTATTCCAATTTTCTGTAGGGTTTTTTTGTTTTTGTTGAGACAGGGTCTCACTATGTAGTTGAGACTGACCTGGAACTCACTATGTAGTCCAGGCTGGTCTCAAACTTATAGCGATCCTTCTGCCCCAGCCTCCCAAGTGCTGGGATTACAGGCATGAGCCACCACATCCGGCCTCTGTAAGGTTTTTATCATGAATGTGTACTGAATTTTGTCAAATGCTTTTTCTGACTCTATTGAGATGATCATATGGTTTTTTTGAGACAGGGTCTCACTATGTAGTTGAGACTGACCTGGAACTCACTATGTAGCCCAGGCTGATCTCGAACTCACAGCGATCTTCCTGCCTCAGCCTCCCGAGTGCTGGGATTACAGGTGTGCACCACCACACCCAGCTCAAAAACATTTTTATATATCATATCCTCAGGCTACAACTTGACTATGAGCCACATACTATTTAAGATATTATTCTGTCTCAGCCATTTGACTTAGCCTGCCATTACTGTAACAAAATACCTGAAACAATGAACTTACAAAGAAAAAAGCTGATTTATATTCTCACAGTCCTGCCGTTTCCAACCATGATCAGTTGGCCCCAGTTTCTGGGCCTGTGGTGAGGGAGCACATCATGACAGGAGGTATGTGGTAAAGATTCTTACCTGACAGAACCAAACAAGGAAAAAGAGAAGGGGCTGGGTCCCTCTGTCACCTTCAAGGCAGCCCCAGTAAACGAAAGCCTCCGTTAGGGCCTGAAGTTTTCAACAGCACAAGGCTGTAGGCTAAGAATTTAACACATGGGCTCCGGGCAGATATGCCAGGTCCAGACTATAGCATTCTGCTCCTAGCCCACCAAAGCTCCTGCCCATCTCACAATGCAGAATGTATTTAGTCCATCTCAGAGTCTCCAAGTCTCAACTGATCCAGCTTGCTGAGAAGTCCAAGTCCAAATCTCCTGCAAGACTCAAGGTACAGTGAACTGTCAGCCCCTGTAAAAATCAAAATGAAAGTTGCACGCATCCAAGAGAACAACGGCACGAGGCTTTGCGCAAGAAAGGAAGAAAGAAATAAGAAGGGATGGGACCAAAGCAAGACTGAAACCCATGAAGGCGAGCGTTTAAGTCCTAAGTCTCCAGGCCCAGCATCCAGGACTCCAAAGGGGTGGGAGCCCCACTCCTGCAGTTTTGCTGGCTGCAGCCCGCATGGTCTATCTTGGGCAGGTTCTGCATACTTTCTGCAACATCCCTTGGCAGACATCCCCGTGTTCCTGGCATCTCTAGTTTCCTGCCGTGTCCACTACAGCTTCGGCTTCCCTCTTACAGACCCACGCCTCACCCTGCGAGAGGCCGCTTACGGGGACTGTGGCCCTGCTACTGCAGCAGCGGGTGTGTGGGAAAGCAACCACTCCCCACACCGCCGCTTAGAGCACAGGTCTCGGTGCTCCATGACGCTGTGACGTCTTGGATGGCAAGACAATAGTACAGCTAAGGGCAGCAGGACTCTTCCTTCTGGAGGCAGAAGTTAATCTACAGGAAGAAACAAATTTCCCATCCGTCCACGAGCTGTTCCTGCGGGAATGCCTCATTCCCTTGTTGTTAGGACCCTGCTTGCGTCCGCTCTCCACGCCACTGTTCCCTGTACCGCCCCCGACCCCTTCGAGATGCTACAGCCTCTTAACCTGACAAGAGCTCTGACTGCCCTGGGCCCCCCACGTACGCAGTGAAGATCTTGTCTTTTGTTATCCTGCCGCCGTGTGTTATCTGACCGTACCCACTGGTTAGATGACTGAAGGTCTGATCGGCCTCCGGTAGACACCCTGTAACTCTTACATACTGCATTCCTGACAAAAACTGTATCCCACGGATGGACACCAAGATATGCCACCAGGACGAGCTACTTCTGGGCTCTCTTGATCTGAGGCTGCAGTGGCCTCTGGGTGCCTCGCCAAACCACGGTGCAAGACACTTGGGTGATTTTTAATGGCTCTGCTCTCTTTAGCAACTGCCTTCTTGGCAGCACCTTTAAATGCACATTTTTTTCTAATCCATCTACAAGCTTTGCAAGATCGTCTGTTCTGTCCCTCTTCACTTCTGATTCTCACAGTAAGCTTAGCGAAAAGCCAGTGACACCAGTGTCACAACCTGAATACTGTGTTCTCCTTGACATTTTCTCTACCAGGTAAACCGGTTGATCACTTTAAATTCAGCCTCCCGGTGTCAATGGGAAAATGCAGTCAAACTCCCTGCTGTGGTGTAATAGACGAACTGCAGTTCGGTGCCGAAGAGTCCTCCTTTCATCTGAAGCTCATCAGCACAGCCTCCTCCATCCCTCATTCCAGTCCTCACAGCCCTCACCAGAACTCTCTTAAGCTCTGCTTACAGCATCCTGGGCTTTCTCTGGCCTCTTCCTCCAAACTTTTTTTGGGCTCCTCCAGCAAAGCAATTCCAAAAGCTTTTTCACATCATCTCAAGAGCCCTACATCTCATGGCCAGTTTTCTAGATGTCCCTCAGTCGAGTTGACAACCAAAATTAACCATTACACTTTCTAATAGGCCATAGGTAATTCTAGAGCCCGCTGGTGTGTCTCCAATGGACTATGTAAGTCTACAGCATAGAATCTCATTTAAAATATCCATTCAGAGCCCGGCGTGGTGGCGCACGCCTGTAATCCCGGCACTCGGGAGGCTGAGGCAGGAGGATCGCTGGGAGTTCGAGACCAGCCTGGGCTACATAGTGAGTTCGAGGTCAGACTCAACTACATAGTGAGACCCTGTCTCAAAAAAAAAAACAAAAAAAAAACAGCCAGCCAGCCAAGCGTGGAGGTGCAGACTGCAAGTTCAAGGCTAGGCTAGGCTAGGCAACTAAGGGAGAGTATGTTCTCAAAAATAAAAAAGGACTGGGACTGTAGCTTGGGGCTCCATGGTTATTATCCTGAGTAAAAGGGGATCTAAATGTCTACAGGATTGAGTAAATATGTACATACTAAATATAATAGGATGTCAGGGTTAGACTGGTGGTGTAGCTCAGTGGTAAACCCTATTATACACATGGCCTTGGAGTCAATTCCCAGCATCCCCCCCTAAAGCAAGTCGGGGGAAATGAACATAAACACAGAAAATGGGGCTGGGGTTTTAGCTCAGTGGTTCAGGCAAAGAAACCAAACACAAAGTAATACATATTGTTTGTGTTCCTATAAAGGTTAAGAACAGGCAGGGCTGAGGATTTAGCTCAGGGGCACCATTCCTACCTTGAACGTGCAAGGTCGTAAGTTTGATCCCTGATACCATAAAATAAAAAAGAAGAGGCAAAACGAATCCATAGTAATACAAATCGGCTGTGAGATCCTCCACTGGGGAGATAAGGGACTTTCTGTAATGGTTACATGTATGTGCTCATTTCAGTACTCTCTCTGAAATGTTCACTTAAATTGGTACCCTTCATGGTAGATAAACTATACCTCAGAGTAACGTGCAAAGCATGGTAGCACACATTATAATCCCAATACTTGGGAAGCTGAGGCAGGAGAATCTCAAATTCAAGGTCAGCCTGGAGTACGTAGTGAGTTACAGGCTACCCAGAGGACACAAAGAAACTGTCTCAAAAGGACAAAAAATAAAACAAGTAAAATCAGAAAGACAGGAAAGAAATGCAGTAACATTTCAGATGTTAAGAAATTTTAAGTGAAGCAGGTATGGGGGCACACAGCTGTAATCCTCAGCACTAAGGAGGCTGAGGCAGGAGGATTATAAATTCGAAGCCAGTCTGAACTAGTAGGAACCTATCTCAAAAAAAAACCTAAATAAATAAGTAAATAATTTTAAATTATGGGGCTGAGGATTTAGCTCACTGGAGCTGCCACTGCTTCACAAGCACAAGTTCCTGAGTTTGATCCCTGGTAACAACAACAAAAAACATTATGGTCACTGTTTTCGCTCTTGCATGGACCCACTGTGACTGTAGGGTGTACTTCTCATCCTATTACTTGGCCCAAACTTAGTCTGTAAAGCCTATTTCCTTTCCTACCTGTAATAAAACTTTCCTAGCATTAAAAAATAATACAAATAGGGCTGGGGATTTAGCTCAGTGGTGCTGCCGCCTGCCTTACAAGAGCAAGGACCCAAGTTCAATCCCCGGTACAAAAAATAATAATAATAATAACAATAATACAAATAAAGGGGCTGGGGATTTAGCTCAGAGATTCCATCACTTGCCTTGCAAGCACAAGGACCTGAGTTTGATCCCTGGTATCAAAAAAAAAATCATAAATGAAAAGTCTTATTCCCAAGCAAAAAAATATTTACCTTACTCAAAGTAGAAAATTTAGCAATAACAATGGAATAACATGCCATCATGTGCGTCTGATGAAAAGCATCTTTACAAAATGTAAAATAGCCAGGGATTTAGCTCAGTGGTTCTGCTGCCTGCCTCACAAGCACAAGGACCTGAGTTCAATCCCCTGTACCAAAAAAAAAAAAAAAAAAAAAAAAAAGAGTAAAATAAAAATTACTATCTAGCTTCTAGATATAATTTCCCCTTCATAGAAAACACAGGGAGTAGCAGAACATGTTAACACCAACTACTCCTAGAATACAATCAAATAGCAAATAACTGTACTTTCCACAAGGTAACTGCTCCAGATTCACTAAAAAATAATATGGAAAAAAGCCTGAGTGATAGCATCCTTGTAACCCCAGCACTCTGGGAGACTGAGTCAGGAGGATCACAAGTCCAAGCCCTGCCTGGGCAGTTAGGAATTTAGAGACACTCTGTTTCAAAATAACAAAATGTAAAAAAGTCTTGAGCTGGCCAACAATGGACTGAAATTGCTACAAACTGTGATTCAAAACAAACCTCTCCTCTAAAAAAGCGGGGGTGTGGTTTGGGGGGGCCTTGGGCTGTAGTTCTAAATGGGAGGCCCTGGGTTCAATTCCCAGTACAATAAAATACGGAAAAATACGCAGGCAGGCTGTTCGGGTTAAAAGGCTAAAGAGATGGAAAAGCCTTGCGTGGTCCTTGAAGCTTGAGATACATTTGGAACAGTTGGAAAGATTCAGTTTGAATACATAGTAGGTAGTAGGTAATATTGAATTAATGTATTTCCTTAGCATAGAAGACTGTGGTTCTATAGGAGAATGTGCTTATTCTGAAACTGAAATGGTCAGAATGTCAACATATGTCAATTTAACTGTCAGCACACAGTGTTAAATACATGGAACATGGTGGCATTTTAATGATCAGTGCATCTATGACAACAGTCACTCCCTGTCCTGGACTTTGACATTTTCAATTGTTTCTGTTCTGGGGATTTTTTTTTTTTTTTTAAGACAGGGTCTCACTATGCAGTTGAGACTGACCTGGAACTCACTATGTAGCCCAGGCTGGTCTCGAACTCCCAGCGATCCTCCTGCCTCAGCCTCCCGAGTGCTGGGATCATAGGCGTGCGCCACCACGCCAGGGTTTTTTTGCTTTTGTTTTTGTTTTTTTGTGTGTGTGCTACAGGGTATTGAACCCAGGACTTTCACATTGAAGTACAGTACATTCCCAATGTTTGGTTTTGTTTTTTTTTAAGACAGTCTTGCTACACAGGCCAAGGCTGACCTTGAACCCTCGTCGTCCCTCCTATCTCAGCATCCCCAGTCTCAGATTACAGGCCCAATCTGTTTTTGAAACAGGGTCTTGCTAAATTGCCCCTCGGAATGGGCTGGAACTTGTGACCCTTCTGCCTCAGCCTGGCAAGTACCTGAGATTCCAGGCACCCACTACCATGTACAGGTTGAGTTTGAGCGTTGTCAAATCGGTACTTGGAAAATGCTCTTCCCTGTTTACAGTCACTTTCAGTCCCAGCTGCTGATACAAAAAGCCAGCATTTTCTTTTCTCCTGGAGATGTCATTAGGAAAGTGACGTATTTACGGCGTTCCGGGGTGAGGTGGTGCTGCTCTGAGTGAGAAGCTGCAAAGTGTGCGACTCTGTTGTATTCATCCGCATCTGCTACACATGCGTTAAATTCCCCCAGCTACACCTGCTCCCTAACAAGCTGAGAACAAGCCTGATCTCCACCTGAACCTCATTTACCGAACATGCGTAACCGATACCCGAAAGGAACAAATTCACCCGCACTCACCACGGAGGGCTGAAATGTCCGAGTCGGTGAACCGCTAGGGACAAAGGTGCCAGGACCTAAGGACAAAGGCTAAGGGGCTGTGCAAACCGGAGCTCGGCGGCTGCAAAGGCCCGCGAGCCGGGCGCGCAGGCGCACACCTGTCATCCCGCCGCTCTGGGAGGTCGAGGCAGGAGGCTCCCGAATTCGAACCCCGCCTGGGCGACTTAGGGAGACCCTGTCACAAACTGAAATACTAAAGGAGGGGGCGTGCCGCCCAGTGCGAGGGCCCCAGGCTCAATCCCCAGGACCACGGTCGGAGGAAGCGCCAGATGCGGCCAGCGCCAGCCCCAGAGGAGCAGTCAAGAGGCCGCCCCTGGGAGGCAGAAAACAGCTCAGCTCCGCCCCCGGCTGCTCTTGTCCCCGCCCCGAGGCCACGTTCACTCCTGTTCTCGCGGTAGCACGCGAGACTTGACAGGCGGATATGGACAAAGGAGGGAGGGGCTGCCCTGGAAGCAGGCAACTTCCTTTTCTGCTCACTTCCGTTTCCGGTCACGGGAGGAAAGGGAGAGGGCCTAGGGTTAGCTGAGAAACCGCGAGTTTCCAACGTTGAGCCGGAAATCCTAGGGTCCACGCGCAGAACCTAGACGGGAAAGGCCTCTGACTCCGCTGTGAGGGGCTTTGCGAAGGGTTTTTTTAACCTTTCCTCCATTTTATACATAGGAAACAGACGCCCAGACCAGCCACTGGGACTTCTACAAATCATGAGGTGTAGTAATTCGGTGAAACAGGATCAGAGGTTCCTTGACGCCTTACGCGTCCTCTAGGAACTATACTGAATCGCCATCACAAGCAAGGGCGTATATCCGCATTTAAGGTCCAACGTGTGGTCCTTCTTAATACAGTATTTTGATTGCCCAGTGAAATGTTGCACCTCAGAAAGCCTCTGTGGCATTTTCTGAATGTCCCTATGAATAAAACATCTGCTGCATGAATGGAGACACCTTCGGGATTGCCAGGAGTTCCTTCACTTGTGGTCTTGGCGTCTAGCCTGAAATAAACCCGTCCCCGTGTGGTCGGCACGGTATAGCTCACTTGTTCACCTCTCCCAAAACCCATCACGTTCCACAGTTGCCGACCAGGATGAAACCTAATGACCAAAACACCAGTCACGTAGAAAGCTCCTCCCTTGGACAGGGTTTTTTTGGGGGCGGGGTAGTTGTATTTTGTTTGTGTTTGTTGTGTTTGAGGTACTGGAAATTGAACCAGGGCCTGCACACTAAACTACATCCCCAGCCCGTTTTTATTATTTAAAAAAGGGTCTCCGTAAGTCTCTAAATTGCCCAGTCTGGGCTTGAACTTAGTGATCCTCTTGCCTCAGCCTCCCAGAGTGCTGGCATTACAGGAAATACCACATCTGGCTTGCAAGTGTTTTCTTTATCCTGCACAAGCCTTCACGGATATGCCTATGTCCTTTAATAAATGAAGAGTCGCAAGGTTTTCCCTGCTTCCAACCACATTTGAGTGTCCTCTTGCTCCCAGAATTCCCATGAAACCTCCTTCAACAACTCTAACGCCTCTGGGGCCTATGACTAGTAAATTCATTCTGTGAACTTGGCTTGCACTCCCTCCTTGACACACAGGAACCTAACTCCCATCCTCACCCCTGGGGCTCTCCTAAAAATCGGCCAACTTGGCTTATGACCATTCTTAAGAGAGAGCTCAAAACCAAATTACAGGGCCAGGGATTTAGCTCAGTGGTTGCGCCCCCTGCTTCGCAAGTTTAAGGACCCAAGAGCAATCCCTGGTACAAAAAAAAAAAAAAAAAAAAAAAAATAACAAAACACAAAAAACAAAAAAACAAAA